TGGATCGACGATTATAGAAAGTCTTGAGAGTTTGAGGAAATAGGTTCCTAGTATATTGAGGTGACGATTAGGATCTTTAATTTATAAGAATTATTGTTTATAAGTTAATTCTTTGATTTTGTCGAATTCCAAAGGGGAATAGAATTAAGTTAGAAAATAGATTGATTTGAGTTTTGTCGGGTTGATTCTTATTGACTTTCATTGAATAAATTGTTATTTGAATTTTACTAAAGTTTGTATATAGTTTATTATTAGAATTATTTATTAAATATTTGTTTTGTTATTGACAAACTTTGTCATTATTTAATTCGGTGCACGCTTAAAGTCCAGGCCTGGCACACTAACGCGAATCCGCATAAAGTACCCGTTAGGGAATGGCTATTTCCGGCACACAGTTGTGTCGATAATCGTTGGAAAAGTTGGAAAAATAATATAGTACTTTACAAATGTTTCTTTAATGGAAAACAGAAGTTTGAATAATCTGTAGTACTGGTATCATTGGATGAGGTCAGAATACCAAGATGGACAGTAATATGGTAAATAAAAGTTATTTGCCAGCTATAATGATATCTTTTTCAGTTCTCCTTTGTGCATTGTTTGTAAATTAAATCTTGAAGAGTATCTAAAAGCTTTTTAATGTAGTCACACCTTTGTAGTTTGTAATTCCATGTGCAGTAAGCTAGAACTTCTATACAGTTGAGAATCTGAGAAATACAAATGTTTGGTGTTCATTATTATTACTTTTATTATCGTATTCCTTATTTGTGATGTAATTTGTACATAAAAATAAAGTTTTTTCTTCCTATTTTCTCCTTGTATGTTTTTTCTACAATATCAACTGTATACCTACTTTTGCACCCACACTGTATATTATTGCAAAACACCTTTCTCACAAGATAGCTGAAAACATACATTTGTTTAATTTAATTTAAAAAATTTTGCTGAAAAGTGAGAAAGGTGGTTTGCAATAATTTATAGTTTATTATAAACAGTTAATATTTCATGTGGTTTCATTTTTACCATGTTGATCTGTTGACATTACAGCTATTTTTGTTTTCTGTTAGCTATGAAGTTTCTGTTTTTGTATATGAGAATAGAAAAGTTAAAATAATTTTTAGATTCAGTTTTCTTGACTTTTTCTATATTAGTAAAAGGAAAAATATTTGTTGTCTCTTTCTACATTATTTTTCTACAGAATTTTCTTTAAGTACTTTACAGTTTGAGTATTTTTGTTCTAATTCATTATTTATCCTCTTCCGGATGAAAAAAATTAAACAGTTTATGAGAATTCATTTCAAAACAATACAAATTTTTGTTAAGCTAGACTTCTTTTTAAATTTCAGACAGATTTTATATTATTAAATGATTTAAACAAAATTATTACTACATGATATAATATATAAAATTATAAAGATGTAATCTTCAGTTACCTTGGATTTTTATTTAAATTAAATTCATCAAAATAAATTATTATTTGAATATAATTTAGTATATTGTACTCTCAACATTAATGTTTTGACAATTGCAAATGTACAATTTTCTGGGGTGTTTTTTTTCTACAACTCTACACATTGATTTACATTTACTATTTTGTAGTTATGAATTCATGTTTCTTAATTAAATTAGCATATTTGTATTTTTCACCAGCTGCTTGACCTCTTAAAAACAAAACTATTTTATTTGGGTCGTTTGATTCATTCTTGTATATTGTCACTAGTAAAGATAAATAGCAATAGGAAAAGCAAAGCTTTCTGTTGCATTTTAAATTGCAATTCCAAAGCCATACAGGATCCTGAAATAAGCTTTCATCTATTTCCACAAGAAAAACAGATGATTATTTGGAAATCAGTATTTGGAGAAGCTCATAAATGTAATTAATGTAAAGAGTGGATTCAACTGTTAAGAATTTGCAAAAAAGTTTTCCAATTGTCCAGCTTTACATGAACAAGTTAGGCTGTCAATTTTAAAGGATTTTTCCTTAACGTTTAAAATGCCAGTAATTTTGGCCCCTTCACAGTTACCAACCCTTCACAGTTTTAGAAATCAACCACAAAAAGAAAAGAATTAACATAAACATATTAATTAAATACTTCACAAAATAAAAAGTAAAGTATATTGTTGTTTTGTAAAAAAATTTTTATTATAAAATATGTCTTCAATTTTCTTTTTTGTAGGAATTTTTGAGGCCCCTTGGAACTCAAGGCCTTAAACAATAGTGTACATAGCTTGCTTGTAAATTTGGTCCTAGTGGGACATAGTGTGTCCTACTAGGACCAAATTTACAGATGTCAAAGCTGATGTTTTTTAGCACAAAAAGCACAGATATGTATAGAATGATCATGCCCATTTATTTTGATAATACCACATAAAATGACATGTCCCACTAGCAATAATTGTTCTCCTCCTATAAAATTTTTCAATAAACATCTAAATATAGCATATCTCATTATATCAGATAGTAATATATAATTAATTTTACATTGACTAGTTACAAGCTACCCAGATAAAAAAGCCATTTTGTAAAAATACCGTGGCCTCTATAATTCATGAAAAATGCAAATGTTGAAATGATTTAGTATATTAATATTGATTAATATCTTTTAGGTCCTGGAATGGGTGCACCATTAGTTTCTGTTGCTGTTGTTGCACGTACTGTTGCTCAGTTGTGGAACAAACCAATTATTGGAGTCAATCATTGCATTGGACGTATCCTTTAAGTTATTCAAATAAAAATATTGATAAATGAATTTATTGTGCACAAAATTTAGTATTAAATTTTGAGATAGGAATGAAAAGTAATAAATTTGAAGATTTAAGTACTTTTGTCTTTTATTTAAAACTTCAAGTACCAAATCAAGTAAGGGAACTGAACAGATTCTANATAATATATATTTTTAGAATTTTATTAATATAATATATATATATATTTATTTACAATTAAAAAATGTTACCGTAAATTACCATATTTAATAAGTTCCCGCGAAGGCATGGCAGCTCTGTTCATGCCTCGGACTCGTTCGCGGTTTTATGAATTACTTTTATTTTCGTTATTTTTAAAATTAAAATGCCTGTGGCCATTGGTTTCGAAGGCAGCGCTAATAAATTGGGTATTGGAGTAGTAAAAGACGGAAAAGTTCTTTCGAATCCAAGATGCACTTACATCACTCCTCCCGGAGAAGGTAACTCGTGCATAATCTCATCACATAAGACCCCATGTTATGAGCTTTCATAATAAAAGAAGTTAATTACTGTAGTATGTTTGAGTATTGTTGAATGGTATGAATTTAGTGAGTCAAATGGTTGGAATAATTCTTAGTGTGAAAGTATCTGAATCTAAAGATGATTTTATGATAAAAGCATATTTTTTAAATATCAGTAATATGTAATTGGTGTGTAATTGACTCATTTTGATTTGTCAATACTTGCTGTTCTAGTAGAAGGTTGGGTATGCAATCCTAGATAAGTACAGTAATAATAGCTTATACACCTCATAATAGAAACTGAAAAGAAACAGTTGATCAACTTGATAGAGTATAGAACAGCTCCTTACAATTGTACAGTAAAACCATGATTATCTGAGCTGAACTTGTAAGTGAAAACACTACAGAGCTTGAACATCTGTGTTTTGTGCAGACTGTCTGCTTTCCAAGGGTTCTGTCTGTGTGTCTGCTGGCATTTATGTTTTTTTTTTTTGCCAATGATTCCAATATCTATTTTCTTACAATTATTGTTTTCTGGATAATTTTTTCATATATACAAATCCACTAATTTTTTTTCTTGTTGTTGTTGATTGCCAATATTTGCCAATATTCTTCAATCAAGTGTTGTGCATTTTTATTTGGCTATCAAAGAAAGCAAGAGAAAAAATATACATAACACTTTTGAAGATTTTTTAAGCAGAGGAATAATGTTTAGGCAACAACAAAACCCTATATTTAGGGGATCACTGTTCTACACTATACTGTGTTAGTATAATAAGTGAAATATGATCAAAAGTACAAAATGGATGCAATAAAATAATCTTATTTCATATTTAACAATTTATTAGCTGCTACATTTTCTGTTTTGCTCTTAGGAAAGACATTTTACCACTAAATAAGGACAGAAAGACATTACAACTGAAGTAACTGTCCTTAAGAAAAAGGATGGGTGTCAACTCTACTTGCAACAACTCTCTTTTTCAACATGATGTTAGTGTTTCTTATTTGTACCTTTAATAGAACTAACTAGTGCTTTGCATTTTATTGGCTTCAGTCTTACTGACCTTTCATTGTTTTCCTAGTATTTTAAGTACAATTATTTTATATAGCTTGCTATTTATAGGTATTAATAAATCCATTTACAATGTTTTTATGAGAATATGTCAGGATTTCATTATTAATTTGTGTCATTTAACTGTGTGTATACTGATTACTAAATGTGTACTTATTGAATTACAGTATATACTATATGCTTCTTTTCAAATTATATAATTATTTTGTTATGTCAAGCACATCAGTTGGATATACAGTGCTAGTTGTTACAAGTGGCAATTTTGATTGGAGACTTAATTTACCCAATTGAGGACATACGAGGATGAATGAAGCAAGCCATGTGACCTGGCAAAAGCCAAATATAAAAACTGATCTTTTGAATAAAAGATTTTCTAAAATAAATAAACACCTTTCTCTATTCCAGCACAACGTTTAATACATTAAAAATGTTTTCGACCATTTTAAGCGATCATCTTCAGTTCAAGATTCAAAAGATTTTCATCTACTTTTATTGCTCTTTGTTCCCAGATTAGTAAAATACTTGGGAAATAATATAACTTTACCTTTCAGGGTGAGAATCTACCTTTGGAAGTAGTCAGCCTGTTACCCAAGCTAGAAAATCTCTGCCTTTTTGAGATAATACATCTTTAATGCATTATCTTCACAAAATGACTTTACAGTCAATACTAAAAATTCCAAGTTTACTTACATGGCAGAAATTGACCACTCTCCAATATTAATATTTTTTTTAATTCAGCATTACTGTATACGCATGAGAATTTCATAAGAAGTTTTAAATTTTTGAGTAAGTTATGAAAAATTAATTTTGTAAGAACTTACCATGTTTGAAATTGTCGTAAAATGTGATGTACAGTATATATAGATATATATGATCTTCCACTTTTTGGTAGAAGAAAACAAATTAGAAAATTTTTATAAATCTAAGTCACATGTCAAAATCACATTCTTTAAGCTATAAGGAATTATTAATTTTTGTAATTTTTTCTGTAGGTTAACTTCATTAACTTTTTATGTATAACTTGTGCTAGATGCTTATATTAGATTTTATATGCTTATTTTTGCAAACTTATAATTAACTCCATTAAAAAAAAATAGCTTCCTTTTAATAGCTTGATTTATTTACTTTCTTACACAGCTTATAACTGTGATACTTAGAATTTTTAATTAAAAAAAATCTATTAGTATTACATACTATTTGGATTATATGCAATTTATCATTTAAAATATAATTTTAAATTAATTAATTACATAATATGTATAAAACATTTATTTGTAGGTTTTCTTCCAAGGGATACAGCCAAACATCATCAAAAGAATATTTTAGATTTGTTAGATAAAGCTTTAAAAGAAGCTTCAATTAAACCTTGTGATGTTGATGTTGTTTGCTATACTAAAGGTATAGAAGTTTTGTTTAAGTATTTTGGTAGTTATTTAATAAGAAGTTAATAAATAGTATAAAAGTAATTTTAATAAATATTAAAAGCTAATACACTTGAAAATTATATACATGAAATGAAGATCAATATCATTTTTATAAAAAAATATTATCTTTTGTATGTACAGAGTTTATAAAGTTGATACTGAAATTTGAAATATAAAATAATTTAGAATTTTGAAATTATGTACTGTATTTTGACGAGTATAAGTCGCTGTCAAGTATAAGACGCACCCCCTATTTTGAGACAAAAAATTTAGAAAAAAACTTTTTTAATGGGATTCTCTAAAGATGCATTTTATTAATCATAGTGGCCAAGAAATTATTCAAGTGAATCACTGCTATCTACCTGTAAATTACACCCATTAGGAAACATATCTATGACGTCATTAATGACTGATTCATCATCCCTTTCTTCTTGAATTCCCGAAGTATTGACTGTATCATCATCATCAGAATCTTCATAGATTGCCTCATCTTCTGTACCTTTCATGATGATTATTTCAGTTTAATAAAGGTATCGATTCATCCATCCGTCATTCTTGAATAAAAAAACGAATAAAATGCTTTATTAAACTGAAATAATTGTCATTTCTTAATGTAAACTCGCAGGTCATGTGATGACAGTCGACAGAACATGGCGGTGATGACTCGTGTCTCTACTCTGATAATCTAGATACTCTAGCCATTCAGTTGAGGGACCATCTGCTTAATGGACCACTGCACAGGTTGGTCCCTAGAGTGGACCACTACTGTAGATAATTTCACTGTAAAAATGGTTACCTGTCGAGTATAAGATGCACCATGATTTTGAACCCCAAAAAGTAGTAAAAAAAGTGTGACTTATACTTGTCAAAATACGGTAGATTATTTTAAGTTTTTAAACAAGTAACAATTTGTGATTCCAAGATAATTTTTTAGTTAATAAATAACAGACAACAGAAATAAATGAAATAAATAAATATTACGGATGCAATGCGAGTAGTTGACATTTAATTTTACTACAGCTTATGTTTCCCAAAAACTTCTGGATGAAATGGAGAAGTAACTGGAAAGACAAAGAACAAAGAAAAACACTATGCAATATTATATTTTATATTACATGTATCCCTCATACAACACGGTAGTTTTACAACATGGTTTTGCTCTAACACGGCTTGAAAATTGAAGATATTCCTCATGCGTGACTTTCAGTTTTGCACTAACAAAGTTTTGGAAAACCTCCCTACAAAATTTCACAATTTTTAAGTGTAAACTTGGTTGTCCTATATTTTTTTTTTATTCAAGTAAGCAAATTTGTTGTCTCAAATTTCCCCTTGGATTTTAGAATATTAAAATTTTCAAATTATTTTGTGCTTTTTGTCAGGTTTACTTTAACGAAAACTGATAGGACAAGGAAGAAAAAATTACACTAACTGTCCTATCAACTGGTGTTGTTGTAAGGTGTTGTTCATTGTTACTTTCAGGCTTTAGCCTTTAAGACTGTCACTGTGTTTTCTTTTTATACATTAATCTTTGTATTTAGTAAAGTTTATTTAAACATTTTTAGGTAAGTGTTATTAAACTTCTTTTTAACTGTAGGTAAGCAATCATTTGTAAAATGATGAATGAAATATGGCAATACAGTAGAGCATCGATTATCCGACTCAATTGGGGACTCAGGTTGGTCAGATAACTGAAAAATTGGATAACCGAAAAGGAAAAAAATACATCATTAGTATAGTATATTAGGATATTAGTATATCCCATGTAATTAGTTTATTAGTATATCACTATTAACCAACTTTGCATTGAATTTTCATCGATGTTTAGCCTAACAAATTTTTTTTAAAATAATAATCGTTGCTATTGTATCATTAAAAATTATTTTTAAATTATTTTATTGCTCACAAAACAAACAACTACTCATAATTAGAAAATTAAGTCTCGTTTAAATACTGGCCTCCCTTCAATGGTCGAGCCGTTGATGCCAGCTAAAACACGCAAAAATTTAACAAAAATAATATTAAAGTAGCCAAGACATAGCCAAATATTGTAG